CAATTTACATGTGCTGGGATTTGATCAAACAACCTTCATGCTGCTAGTGCCACAATTGAGCTACAATAGCAGTGCATACCTCAAAGTCTGTGTCACATCCACATATACAAAATGGCCCAGTCAGTTTCAGTACTGGCTCATCCCTCTCATTCCTGATCATGAATTTAGGGAGAAATGGATGCAATTCCTGAGTGACGGATCCGATGGGGTTCCCAGGAGGACACTGGACCTCCAGCTTCATACAAATGGAGGACGGGAAAGAGACTTTGTGTGATGCATTTGGGTGATGCAGGCAATACATCATCATGTAAAATTGAAACGATAAAATGAGAATCATCGATAAACTGTCGGTAACATTATTGATAGCACATATCACAGAAATGAACACAATTCCAACTAATCACACATTTGATCTTTTAAGAACGGACAACCTGGGCACAACAAAAGTACTGCAACGTTGATTGAGTTAGCAGAGCCATACGCTGCCGTTTCTGTAACATCCTGGAAGATGGAAGCCATTACCCCGAAGAGACATCATTTAAAAAGGAAATTTTATGGAGAAACAAGGTAAGAATCAGAGGTTCAGTGGTACTTCTTGCAGTTTAAAGCCCAACATGCCACAGACTGGTGCTGTGCACTGTAAACTCAGGCAAAAACCTGTGCCAACAAAAACTGGAAATTCTGTGAACTTTTTTCACCACTTGAAATACTGGCATCCAGAAAAACATAAAGAATGCAGATGCTTACAGTCACAAACCCCAGCTATTAGGTTTCTGGAAAAATACGGGACACATTGCATCCCATATCAGTTAAAACGAGACACAGCATTTTATTTTTCAATACAGTAATTTTTCAATATGGGTTTCCGTAAAATATAGGACAGGTGACGACAATCTGTGACGTCAAACCTGTTCCTTTGAGCAAGCAATGAGGCAAGCAGAGAAGATTCTAGCAACAAACTGTGCTTTTGTCATTTTCTCTTGGCATGCACTATTAAACTTTTTTTGAATGATTTATTAAAATCAGTTTACAGTCCATAGAATTTGTTGGCTTTTTCATGCTCTGAACCTGTTTCAAGGCAATTCTAGTGGAATTTTAAGCAAAAATTGAGTTGAACAATAGGTCCCCCTTTTGGGAAACTCACTGGGAACCGTCTATGATGCCTGAAATAAAGAAACATTGACTGAGCGAAGTTAGTCATCACATGGGTTTTATTTCCATAACCAGAGGGTGCTACTTAAAAATGGAATACCAGTGAATACCAGTGAATACCAGTTCTGTCAATTTACTTGGTCTGATGTAACTTCCTGTATAACAGAACATCACATGTTATGTAGATTCACAATTATAGATATTTGTACTTTGCAGAGGACATAATGTTGTGTCTTTTTATACTTTTTACCAATTTTATGTGCGAAATTAACCTAAGATTTGCCAGTTTTGCAGACACAGCAGTTTGGGCTAAGTTGTCTCTTTGATTTTGGGGGAAGCTGCCATGTGGATTTTACCCATTTTGTTGAACATGACCGGTACTAAAAGGAGACGAAGCTGGTTCTACTCATGGACAATCACAGGTCCCATCTGTCCACTGATGGACTAAAATTTGTCAAGGAAAATGAATGAATGTTGCATTTATATAGCATATTTCAAGGCACCCAAAGTGCTTTAGAAAAGCAATGGGGGGCCACTTCAACTACCACCACTGTGCAGCCCCCACCTGGACCATGCGACAGCAGCCATCCTGCTCCATATGCTCGCCACACAGTAGCTAAGGTGGTGAGGGGGCAGGAAAGAATTTACCAATCAGATATAGGGGATGTTTAGGAGGTCAGATTTGATAGGGCCACAGTGGGCAGTTTTAGCCAGGACATCGGGGTACCTCCCCTACTCATGCCCAGGGATCTTTTACGACCTCAGAGACTCAGCATCTCTGTTTTGTCTCATCCGAAGAATGGTGCTCTTTTTACAGCACAGTGTCCCTGTCGATGCACTGGGGTATTTGGATCCACACAGACCACATGATAGGGTCCCAGGGTCCACACAACTACAGGAGGCGGGACCAACCAATCAGATGTCTTGATCCCACCTCCTCTATTTGCTTGGACCCACCTTCTCGACAGTGTGATTGGTTATCTCTCTAAACCAATCATTTTTCATTCTGCCCTCAGAACATTTTTTTTGGTAAGTAAGCTCCCACAAGCGCACAGTCCATTTGGCCACAAACTGGTCCCAGAAAAACAGGTAGTCAATAAATAAGACAATTAACTGCTATGGTCACTGAAACACCAGTGTGTCACACCCACCCGGTCCTGCCCACGGATGATGGGACTCCCCGGGTCTTCGACCCTTGGACCCCCTCTCAACTACGGTATCTGGACACGTTTTGGCTTCAGGCGATATATACGGACAGATTCCTGGAAAGACCTCGCTATGACCTCTGACCCCTCTCTGTCTCATCCCTAATAAACTTGGTACTGTAGCTCGGAATCTTCTGTCCTGGTCTTATGTTCCGGTACGAAATGTTCTAAAACAACAGAAGTGTGTAATTCAAAGAAGCCAAAGGACTTCTTTTGTGTAATTCAAAGATAAAGGACTTCAGATGATCAGATGAAGATAAGTGTTAGTGCCTTGTTGGCGCAGAGCCATTCTCTCAGGCAGTGAGCCCACGAAGAGTGCATCCCAGGCCAGATATTTTATGTGTACCAGAACTGCATTTCAGTTAGTCTGATTAGTCAGGTCTATTCTAGAATAAAATAATGCAGGTAGAATTATAATTTTAATTTGAATGTTTGAAATCCATGTCAGATTACTTTGTAGGTTTTGTACTTAAACCTTTTTGACAGGAGTGTCAGAAGCATTTTGAATATGGGTGGCACACTGGCATAAAACTAATATTTTATGTTAAATGTGGGGCTGGGGAGGGGTGGTCCAAACAAATAATTATTTAATGGCGCCGACACCCATGCTTTTTGAAGTAAAAAAAAAAAAAACTTGAACTGTTTGTGTTTTTATTTCTTGCAATAATTGGTGTGAAATCTTACCCAACATACTGTGACAACTTAAGCACTGAAGGGGAGAATTCACAATAGTGAACAATGGCTATTTAACTGCCTATAACTCTGTACTAAAGTAAGATATGAAAATGTAATGAATATAAAACTTATATCTGAGACTATTCATCTAGCGCCGCTCTCCCCTGCTGCATTATTAATGTAAGGAACCTTATTAAACTGATAAAATAAAACGGGGGAAGAAAATGCAAACACACACAAAACGGAGGCAGGATTTGAACGATCAATTACAGATATTGACAATGTACAATTTGTCTTAGTTTTTGTTTTCTAAACTATGTAATGTCATAACTCCTTAATTCGTGTTTTGTTTGAATTTCCCGACATGTTTCATAACCATGTAACGCCCTCTGGTGGACAAAAAGTAATGGTACATTTTCTTCGGTCGAACTGAGGAATCGAAACCGAGAGCACAGGTCGGGCGATAACTTCAGGAACGGAAGTGCTCCTCACAGAAGTGATAAAATCTGTAGATAGCACTACTTAAGGAAATAAGAGAAGATAACAACATAGTCATAACAAACTGAAGATTGATAGCGTCCTACAAGTCACCGATCTACTATGAAAATATTACTTCAGTGACTTTAAATTGAGTGAATGTGTTTCTGCTGCGTCTTACCTCTTGCATGCAGCAGTTCAAAGGCCGTGATATCCTGATGACCTCCTCTCCAAGGTTATTGATGACCCTTAGGAGGAACGGGCGCTGGGACCCACAACAAAATCTGCTGCAGCAGTCTGACTCCTCCACCACGTAGAAGACCACCTGGCCCAGGCTGTTCTTGATTCCATAAATGTTGTTGTAGTGGAATGCAGACAGGGCTGGACAGAGTTTTACCAGCTGTCACTGAGTATGAAGTGAGCAGGTCATTTTTCTATACGACAAGGTAAGCCTATAGTACATCGATCAGGGTACCCTACTAATGGGTGTCTTATTGGTGATGGAGGGAGCTTAGCAACTGTGGATGGGCCATCTTCTAAATGATCCACAAAGGATGGAGTCAGTCAGCCTGCAACACTTTACTGCGGCATTCACGTGGGTACTCTCCATATGCCAACTATTTCCCGTTTCCTGTTATTCCACTTTCGTCCAATCAAATCCCTGCAAAGCCGAGTAGCTAAAGGTCTAAGTACCACCAGCATTGAAATAAAATGAAAGTCAATAAATCAAACAATTCTACTAATTATCTGACAACTACTATAAGAAACTAAAATTCATGTCTTTTTATTTTAATTAATCAGACCATGAAACCAAAAGAAAACACCTTTTTTAAAGATTCATAAATCTGGTGGCTAGCAGATATAAATCACAATTATAACTGCATATCTACTTATCAATCTCTGATTGCATCTGCTATGTCTACTGTGTCAAAATGAAAGACAATTAATTGCACTACCTTCCGCAAAGTCCACCTCCCCCTGAACAATCAACTCATCGATCTGGAGAAAACAAACATAGTGATAAATTATCCATCCTCTTCTACACCCGCTTGTCCAATGCTGGGTTGCGGGTGTCTGGAGTCTATCCCAGGGGACACGGGACCCAGGCATGGCGCTGCACACACATCATTCACGCCTACAAACAATCTGACAGCTCCAAATCATCGTGGCATGTTTTTGGACTTTGGGGAGGAACTCACACGGGGAGAACATGCAAACGCCACACAGGTAGCACTTGGGGGGGGGGGGCGGAGATTCAAGCCCTCGTCCAAGAGGTGCGATGCTACTGTAGGCTACTTATCACTGCAGCAACGTGCGGGCCCCATCTGCATAAGTATCGCTTAATTTTCAGAATTATCTGAAGTCGGAGCTGCACGGCAGTGCGGTGGTTGGCACTGTAGCCTCACCCCTCCGGGACCTTGCTTTGAGTCTCTGTGCAGGTTCCGTGTGTGGAGTTTGCATGTTCTCCCTGTGTCATTGTGGGGTTTCCTTCAGATACTCTGCTGCCCCCCCC